TTCGAATGAGCCCCTTTTTCTTTCCAATTTTCATGGATTGCAGGCAAAAGATGCTTTTCAGATGTCGAAAACTATTAGGTTGAACCGAAAGTTCGTTCGAAGCATTTTCAGAAAATCATAACTTCCTTATCCTACGATATTCTTGCACGACAAAAGTAATTTTAGGAATAACAAATCGTATACTTTCTAACTGCACCTTGTTTGCTCTTTACTAAGATTTGGCTGCAGAGATGAAATTGGGAAAAGAGAATCACTTATATTTCGGAATTCAAAGATAGCCCGTTAGAGATTCCAAAATTGTGCCTTAAAACTCAAAACAAGCAGAAATCTAGGTTTTTTGATCCCCTCGTTTCTTAAGAAAACTGATTTTATGACATTTTTTTCTCAAAAATCATAACTTTTTAAAGAACAGCTTAATCAACGCGAATTCTGCTCCGCTAGAAAGAGAAAGTCAAATAGTCTAGGATACGATTTTATGGCGCAGTTTTGGAATTTTTAACGAGATTGCCTCAAATTCCGAAATTGAAGTGATTCCCTTTCCCCAATTTTATCTCAGCAATCAAAGCTTAGTAAAAAGCAAGCAAAGTGCCCTTACAAAGTATACTCTTTGGTAACCCTGATATTATTTTTGTCGTGCAAAAATATCGTAATAGAAAGAAGTTACGATTTTTTTGAATTTGGTGTGGACGAACTTTCGGTTCAACCTAATATAATACAACAAAAACTATAAAAAGTAGATAGGGAATTGAAAGAGTTGTTCAAGCCTACTGCCTCTAAAACTGGATGTGATATGAAAAAAAAACAATATTACGCGGGAGAAGGAAAGTTTTTGTTTAATGACAATAAAATACTAGTCATTATCTTGATGGAAACATTCATAGCACTTTTTTAATCCTTGTAATTATTTTGAGGAGTATTTTATAGCTGTTCTAGTGAGGTTTACAGCCGGTGTTTATGGGGTATACGGTAAGAAAACTTTCTTGGAAGTTTGTCGATGCTCCAGATACCTAGAACATGCGTGCTATCCATTTGCCCTACGTCATTAACATACTACAAAAAAAGAAAAGGGTGAATGCGATTCATAACTAGATTCAATTCGAATTTTAAGGAAATATTTATAAAAGAATTAATCGAATCCATTCATGCATTTGTTTTCCCTTCAAGAGTGCAAAATTTATTGAAAGAAAATTTTGTGCAAATCTTCTCAGAAATTACGAATAAAGACTGAAACCATGAAGTAAAGTGAGAGGTAAAATTTCAGAAATTTTTTTCGCTAAGAGGCTCAAACTCTAAATACCTGACAGCCGTACATCTCAATAATCGCAGATTTTTAGAGCGAACAAAAACTTGGCAAGGTTAGAAATGTGGAGACGGTAATTTACATCTGATTACACCTCACTAAATCTTTTCAAAAAATTATAATTTAGTAGGTAGCATTGATGAAAAGTTTCCGCAATTTTATTGCCAACTTTTTATTTGCAATAGAAAAAATTGAAGAGCACGAAGAACGCGAAAATGACCAATTACTTGATCAAATTTACTCGCACAGTAAACGCGAAAGGAAGAGTACTACGATTTGTAATCAATGTTTGAGAATTAAGCATGCTCAGTTTGTTTTTTTTTTTCAAATTTTTGCATTCGAATATTGAGGTTTGGAGAATCACAAGATAAGACAACCACTGGAAAAATCCTGTCAAAAAATCTATTAAAAATGCCAGTGCAGTTTTACAGATCAAAAAATTTAGGATTTAAAAAAGTTCTTTACCTAAAGAGTCATTTTTTGAGAGCTCAGCCATGATATGAGGAAAAAATTTTTTTGAAACCTTAGCCGTGGTGGTAAAAAAAATCATAACGCATCAATCAACTTGACGTTTTTACGGTAAACTACAGGATGACACTACTGAATGCATAAACAATATTGACGAGCAGAACTACGGTAATTTCGGTGAGAAATACGATGCAAAAGTGTTGATTTCAACCAAAACGCAATAAACGGCTTGGAAAACTGCAGATTCAACTGGATTGGAGACTGGAAGGCGGGGCTTCGTGACCCAGTTGAGGCTAGGAAGTGATCAAAAAGCACGCGCGCGGGAGAGACGCAGACTGCGCTGCGTGCGCGAGCGGTCGCCTTCCAGCCGCCAATCTCGTTGAATCAAAGGGTAATCATAAGATCGAAGCTGTACTGCTCGCAAGTAAAAAAAAATAAAATTTCACGGAACTTCATTTTAAAGGTGAGTTCTGTACAAATTTTCAAAATTAGAGGCTCCATAAGACCAAGCGTCGAATTGCAAGATGTTAAGATCTCTATTCCGTAAGGGCGGAGACTTCCCAAATGAGGTTGTAGTAAAGACTTCCGGAAACGAAAAACTTCTAAGAAAAATGAAGCAATAGAAAATCAACAAGCCTTTCACCATTCCAAAAGAAGAAATCGAAAGTTTAACTAAGAATGTTGCCGTTCCAATCAACTAAACCAAGGAAACGGAAATCTCTCGTGGAACCGTGGTGGGACGACAAAAAATAAAAGGTCAATGTGTAACCAAACCGTTCAGATAGCGATTAGATTATACGGACAACCAGGTGCTGACTGCTGCTGGGTGGCTCCGTTTGGGACAGAAATCAACGACGTCAATTCAAGGGGGGGGGGGGTGCCGGGGCATCATTTGCAACTCATAGACAAGAGCCGGCGCTTATCACGCCTTCCTGATTTCTGATAAGCTTTGGACGAGAAAGATGTGGCGCCACGAGTCGTAACTAAGAAAATGTGCTCTACTACTTGTTCCTTCTGCAAAAATTTGCAAAGGGGGAGGGGAATATTGGACGGATTTTATTGGGAAAAAAAAGAGAAAAAATCACTTGCTAAAGCCAATGACCTATAGAAAGTGTTCTAAAACTTCTAAACCGATTTCTCCCTTCTTAAAAGTGCATTGATTTCTTATAATCCCCCCGCTATCAGCTGGCATCAATACACGCCTTTTTTATTTTGAGCGTGCGTTTGGTAGTAATAGCTAGAAACCGTGACGTTTTCTTTTTAGAAATTTGACATGATTTGTTACACAGTTCACTGTTTGAATGCGTTTTTACTCAAAGACAGTGCCGTGGCAAATTTATTTGAGTACTCGAATTTTTTGCTGCGTCGATTATTGGAAGGTCTTGAATAAGTCACTGCCAAAAATTCAGCTTATAATAGTTATTCGTAGCCGAGAAATTCACGCTCAAGCTCCCGCCCACACCGTACTCAAAGCCTGGTCTGCCTGGAAGGAGTACGGTGCTGGGTGGAAATACAAAGGCGCATTTCTAGCTCACGGACGTACCAAAGAAACTGCCGCTTGGATAGTAATTTAGTTAAGACCTCCTATTTGACTCCCACATCAGAAACTCAGCTGTTCAGAGAATTACTTGGACACTGCCGCCAAGTACGCAATATTGCGTGGAGACTTACGGCTTTTTGCAGAATATTGGCACGGTAGCTGCACCGCACAGTTTGTACAGAATGAATTGTTGGAGACAAAAATGTTGTTTATTGTTACCTTTCCACCACCTCCCCCCTTTTGCCCTCTCCCCAGGTCTACTTTTCTTCGATTTCATAAGTAATTATTGTACGCAAGGAAATCACCCGAGCAAGTGAAAAGTATGTTTTTCACCCGGATCAAAGTGTGATGCGATTTGACTGCACACATACTAATTTGAGGTTTTTATATCATGTCTGAAGGACACGTGAATGTGGTTGGCAATTGACAAGAAGTTCTTAGACGAGAAGAAGTTCTTAGACTTGCATATTTGGAAACAAAGGCAGTCGAACGTCGAGCATAAATATTCGAAAATTCGTGGTGCCCAAAGAAAAACGATAAGAAATCGAGATTTTTTTCATTGTATTCAGTTTGCTAACGATATCTTTTATCCATGGAGGTCAAAAAGAAAAAAGTTTTCATTCTCTTTCCTTGGTTGTGGAACCCCTTAACATCGAAAAAACACTGATTAGCAGTGGCGGACCGAGGGGGGGGGGCGCCCCCCCCCCCCGAGAATGGGTCGAAATTTTTGAAACTTACCTATATGGGTTATAAAAATGTGCAAACGACTTGTTTATTTTTGCAAATAATTAAAATATTTTTTAAATTTTTTTAAAAATTCAAATTAGTATAAAAATTTTTTTTCGGGGGCGTGGTTGACGCCACGCCCCCTTTTTCAAGATTTTAGGGGTTGGGGCTGCTGATTAGAGATTACGATGACATGCCCATGACATGCTTTTTTTAGGATTTTCTTCCTTTCCGCTTCCCGCGCGAATTTTCGAAAGAATTTCTCTCTTAGTTCACGCGCAAATTTTTTTCCTAGCATCAATCCGATCACGTAATTCGCAGTTGAAATTAGTGAACTCTATGTCACATCCTTCAGTATGATAAAAAAAAACCTTTTAAACCAGACAATAGTATGAGAAACGAAACCCGTTATAGAACCAGTGAACTTCCAACTAAAAAAAAATCAAATAAAAGACTAAATTGGAAGTATATGAACTAGATGGTGCAAGCTGCAGAAATAAGACGAACAAGATCTTTTCGAAGAAACTTTGTTAGTTTTTTAAGTCGATGCTCGATTTATAAAGTAAAGATCCCGAAATAATTTGCTCTTAAAAATAAAAATGAAGAAACAATTTTTGGCCATTTTCCAATTGGAGGAATCAGAAATATGCTATTTTGTATTTCTAACAAAATGAACAGATCCTGTCAAGCAAATTTAACTCCTGCTATTGATAAGATGAGACGGAAATTAAAAATGCATTAAATACAATGGAGAAGTGAAACTGTCAAGGTTTCGGAAACAAAATAGATCAAAGTCAAATTAAAAAAAACTAAATTTCTAAAAATTGTCAAAACCGTTGTTAGTTTTTCAATTCATTTTCCTTGTACTTTTTTAGAACTTCAGTTTTACTCATTTAACGTTGAGTTTAAAGCATGAAGATCAAATGCACCTAAGAAATTATGAAAATAATTTTTAAAAACGTTTAGGAATGAAAGGAACGGCTGAACACCCAACGCAAGCTGACGACTGTTATGGGATCACATCTGGAGACTCATTAATCCGGAAACCTGGCAAAAAACTTGCAATTTCCGGAAGTTCCGACGATGAATGAATGAGGAGATAAGAACGTTCTTCACAGTAACGTATAAGGAGAGCACTAGAGCGTAATACGTAACAAAACACTGTGAGAAGACCGGTTGAGATACTAGGATTCGCTTTTCGCAGTTCTTTTTGTGATGCCAAAAATCACTTGCACGTGATTTGGTGATCATCTAGACTGTGAATGCACTGTTTCCGTTTTCTTTTACAAAGCCATGTAATACAACTTCTTAGATGGTTGTTGATCTAAATTATGAAGTTCTACCATGTAAATTTTAGAATACTTTGTGAAAATAAAATGAGTTGAAAGTTTTGAAATTTGACTAATCAAAGAAAGTAACCTTACAATTTTTGGACACTTATGTGAAAAGAAGTGATCACAACCTTGCGTATTATATAGTTATTACGTTTTGCTCTGTAGGATTACGACAGAAGTGATTCAATTGGATTGGCGGCTGGAAGGCGGGGCTTCGTGACCTAGTTGAGGCTAGAGAATGATCGGAGAGCACGAGCGCGTGAGAGACGCAGACTGGGTCGCGGGTGCGAGCGGCATAAGTAGGTCACAAAGTCCCGCCTTCCAGCCGCTAATCCAGTTGAATCATAGATTAAAATTTTATTATAGAGTTGCATAAAAGAATTTTTTTATATTGTAAATTTGTAAGGGAGTTTTTTCACCGTACAAACGGTGGCAGTCTAAGAGCATTTTTTCGGGTTTGAAGCGCTATAAAAAATTTCGACACTCTTTGCTTGCGGCCCTTTGATAGTGCAATTTCAAAAAACGGGTGTTGTGACAGTCCTCGCAAATAATTTGCAAATCAAATTATTTGTTTAGATTCCAAAAAAATTTCGAATAGGCATGGAAGGCGGTGCCTCGTGACCTAATTAAGGCTAGAAAACGATCAGAGAACACGTTTCGAGGGAGACGCAGACTGCGTCGCGGATGCGAGCGGTCGTCTCCCAGCCGCCAATCTCATTTAGTCACCTGCAAAATTTCATAGCTCATGTGAACAAGTTCGATAATGGCCAGTGGCCGGTAAAAATTCACTTCGTACGAGATAGCAATAAATTAAGGAGGGGGACACGATTTGAGGGGCAACGAAATGTCGCTGGAGTAAAAATTTATTGAAATATGAAGACTTTGCACCCAAGCTCTTATAGGGATTTGAAAAGAACGAGCGGTTGAGGAAGAAGAGTGGCAAGAAGATGAGCAACTCGGACGAACTTGCATCAAGCGAAGTCTACAAATATGTAAAGGGGAGCTTTTGCACAAAAATGATTGCATGAAGAACCACAGGAAATTTCATTAACTTTTTCCTGCACATTTACAATAGCAGGTGCAGAATGCAACCAGTAGAAGATGGCTCCTTTTTCAAAGTCACTGTATTAGTTCCACCGTTCAAAACCGGGTTATGTCAATTGTATTTGCATATAACTGTTCAAACAAAGTTCCATCTCTATTTCCATTTTGAAATTCTAGCAAACGACCTTGTCTACATTTCTAGCAGCCAGTTCATGAAAATTAAATTCAGCAGGAAGAAGTCAGTTCGTGCTGTTTACATCAGCTCAGTGTCGGAGTAAATAAACAAGTGACGGTGGAGGAAATGGAGCCCCTTACAGTTTTCGAAGTCTACGGAGGTGTAGGCGGGGTGCTTTGTCTCAGCCCCCGTATTTACTACGAAGCTCATAATCGAGGAAAGTGATGAGTCTCGCCGACGGGGCCCCGCGCGACAAACAACGGCTATGTCAAGAGACTTGTTGTTGTTGTTCGTGTTTATTTGTTTATCGAAATTCGGTAGCTGGGTCGTCATCAGCACCGCCGCAGCAGCTAATCCCCCTGGTCAATGTCAGCTTCTGGCTAAGCACTTTGTTTTTTTACGAAGGATTGTATAGCCGACGAAGACGAGCCACTGAGCCACCGAACAACTTTATGACACTGGCCACCATATGTTTTGTATCAGCGAAGTATAACACAGCCCTTTGGGGGCTTATTTTGATGTTTCGGATTGCAAAAAGCAAAAGGAGCTCATTTTTTGGAAAATTCTTTTACCGAATCTGCTCAAAGTTGTTTGGGTCACAAGAGCACAGGTAAATGCTATCAGCTTAGATACCCATAAGAATATTTTTAAAAAAGTGCAAGAAAAAAAACGACTGGAAAGAAAAGCATCAAGAGATAATGGAAAAGGTGGAGAGTGCTGACGCTGAAGGAAGAATGATGAGAAAACTAAAATGGGGCGTGATTCTACTCAGTATTTGTTTGCTTTGTATAAGGTAGGCTTCATCGCTGGATAAACTTGCTTTTTTTGGAAAGAATGCAAAAACTAAATTTTTTGGGAAAGAAAATCCGACGTTTTTTAGGTAAAGAGGCGTGACGATTAACCTCCTTATTCATGCGTTTAAGAAAATTTGGGAACCTTCTCAACATTTTTTTGCAGCCTCCTCAAAATTTTGGAAAATGGGGCGGAAGCCACACCAGAAAAGGTCTTGACGACTATGAATTTTTGAAGCATTTCCATGAATATTTCAATCAATTATACGAAAACAAGTCATTTAAAGGTTGCCGCATGACGAAGGCGCTATGGCGATATTAGTTGAGCGTGCGCGAACCCGACGCGCGCGTACCCTCACCGTTGTGGATCCCGCACCTCATGCGCTCTGCGGCTAATAAAGCCGCGTTCCCGAAGATATTGCGCCTTCGTCATGCAGCAGTTTATAATTAACCGACAAGCAAATTTAAAAAATTCAACCCATTATCGAGGGAAAGAAGTACCAGCCCCCCTCCCTCTCCCTCCCTGGTCCGCTGTTGTGTAGAAATAATTTCACACTTAGTACATTCCTTCAACTTCTTATTGCGCATGCATGACCAATTCGGGTGTCACTAAATTAGCACTGAAAGAGACCATTCATTAATTGTGGCGCATGAAAAAACGTGCTTTTATTTTCGCGCCCCGTAGAGATTACTAGGAGTTTGAAATTGTCGATGTAGCAAGTTTGCTGTAGGGTCAAAGCGAAATGGTATTACAATTAAGACCGGAATAAAATGCTTAAGTATAAATAGTATAATAGTATAAATATATTTCTCGCCTTATTAAAAACGATAATTTACGTCCTGCAATTTGTGTAAATTTGCGTTTTTATACTGTTTCTCTCTCCTCCAAATTATCCCACTGCTGATCCCACCCCTCCTCGTTCATCCTTCTCAAAGCCAAGCATGATTTTATGATAGTACACTTGAACGACCCTTGTAAACTATGAGGTTTCCATCTTTGGTTTGCCATTCATAAACAAACCAGTTGTACTTTTGCTGAAAGAGCAAAAATAGATTGTAAACATCAGCGATCTGCAAATGATTGACTTTTTCTGGCCCTGCTTTAGTATATATAAAATAATGATTAATTGTGTGGATGCCTAGAATAGAAGTAACTAATTTACTTGTGCAAGCAAATACCAACCAAGAGCAGCTGAATTACTCTCCGCTACTGTAGGTTTACGGTAAGAGCTTTTGAGAAAGCCTTGATCCACTGGGAACCAACTTTTGGTGTAAAAAAGACTCAAAACAGCTGAAAAATGAGATGCATAAAAAGTAGTTTCAGAGTTTGAGAACCCACTTCACAAAAATTTTCAAGATTTTGAAAAAATATTTATAGTGCCATCTAATACACCACATTGTTACGATACGGATTGCTATGTAGTCCTACAGTAGTAAACAGAATTCTCAGGGTCAAAACGTAGGAGGAAGACCATATCCAGCAAGAAAAGTTTTCGGGGAGCTTCTAAAAATTTTGCAGCCTAGTAATGTTGACATTGATTGGCAACACAAGTCTTTTTTGTAGAACTAATTAAGTTTTTTAAGAAACTTACCACAGCATTTTGGTTTCTACAGACAAAGACTCAAGTATTTGAATTAATTCACTATTTCCAAGAAAGCAGGGAGAAGACTTATGAGATACTAGCTGGCTTACCCGGCTCCGCCGTATGTTCCGAATAGAAAATTCCATTTCTGAACCGATCCGGACCAAACTTGGCACACATACCCTTCGAGCCCCGGCGGGTGTCACAGTCCACTTTTCGTTATCGATCGATGTCGATTTTATCGATTTTTTGCAAAATTTGAGCTACGGGGCTGGGATTTGGCACAGGGGTGTAATCGAGCATGCTGATTACGAATACAATATTAGTTTTCGAAACCGTGCATTACTTTTATCGATTTTATCGATTTTTTGCAAAATTTGAGCTAGGGGGCTGGAATTTGGCAGAGGGGTATAATAATATAATGCTGATCATCCCCACGGGGATGATCAGCATGCTCGATTACCCTCCTGCGCCAAATCCCAGCCCCGTAGCTCAAACTTTGCAAAAAAATCGATAAAATCGATAAAGGTAATGCACGATTTTAAAAACTAATATTGTATTCGGAATCCCCATGCTCACTTACCCCCCCTGTGCCAACTCCCAGCCCCGTAGCTCAAATTTTGCAAAAAATCGATAAAATCGATATCGATCGATACGAAAATTAGCCTATGACACCCGCCGGGGCCCGAAGTGTATGTGTGCCAAGTTTGGTCCGGATCGGTTCAGAAATGGAATTTTCTATTCGGAACATACGTACACACATACAGACAGACAGACATACATACATACAAACAGACATTCAGCTTTATATATAAGATTTAGATAAATAACCCTGAGCATATTTTAACAAATACCACAATTTTTTGCCTACGAACCAGGGATGGATGTACTGTATAATCGATCTACAGCTCTCAAAAACTGGAACAACTCCAAGTAATTTCAAACAATTATGATCTACTAGATGGCTTACCCGGCGCCGCCCGGCCCTGTCATTATTTTATTCGTAATCAGCATGCTCACTTACCCCCCTGTGCCAACTCCCAGCCCCGTAGCTCAAATTTTGCAAAAAATCGATAAAATCGATATCGACCGATACGAAAAGTAGCCTATGACACCCGCCGGGGCCCGAAGTGTATGTGTGCCAAGTTTGGTCCCGATCGGTTCAGAAATGGAATTTTCTATTCGGAACATACGTACATACATACATACAGACAGACAGACATACAGACAAACAGACATTCAGCTATATATATAAGATGGGTAAGGCCATATGCAATGTATAAGCAATCTATCCTGAAAAATTCATGAGTTACGGTACGTGCACTGTGAGATCGGTCTATAATTAGCAAACGTAAAACTCTGATGCTAATAAGAGGATTTTAATTTTAGCCCCAGACATTCATCATGCTTCCCACT